TGTTGGGTGAGGAGGATATGATTTTGCATTTTTATCACTAGGACCTATATATAGCAACAGATCCTAGTAAAAACAATGCAAAAGCTGAATAGGAGGAGGGAAGAGGCCAGTGGTTCTCCCCAAATGTGACTGGCAAACTTGCGGGAAATTCAAATGGGCTATATGGAGCAAGACGCAAATCCCCAGATAACTCGATACAATTTCATGCACAATAACTTAATAAACTAATCCCAAGCTATTTAACCCAATAACCCAACGGGCTGATGAGCAGCCTCATATGTTTGAATTACTAATATAAACTTATTAATTAACAAAGCAAGCGCCAATCCCCACACGACCTATAGCACTTACTGGGTGCGTTGATTATTTACGATTAATAAAATAATAATGCAAGCGCCTATCCCCACACAACCCAGGGCACTTACTAGTCATTCTAATTATTTTTGATTAATAAAATAATAACGCAAGCGCCCATCCCCACACAACCAGGGGCGTTTATTGGTTGCTTACTTAATTTAGTATAAATTAAATAATAACGCAAGCGCCAATCCCCACACAACCCGGGACGCTTACTGGCTGCTTTAATTATTGATAAAATAAAATACTAACGCAAGCGCCTATCCCCACACAATCCGGGGTCGCTTATTGGTCACTTACTTAATTTACTATAAATAAAATAATAACGCAAGTGCCTATCCTCACACAACCAGGGGCACTTGCTGGTCGCTTTAATTATTTTTGATAAATAAAATAATAACGCAAGCGCCTATCCCCACACAACCAGGGGTGGTTACTGGTCACTATGATTGTTTAAAATCAATTAAATAATGCAAGCCTCTCGGTTCATGTAAGGATTAGCGTTCACATTATTCTGTTTATTGTAAATAATCAAGCGACCAGTAGGCGCCCCATTTTGTATGGAGATAGGCGCTTGCATTATTATTTTATGAATCAGAAATAATTAAAATAACGAATAAGTGCCGCAGGTTGTGTGGGAATAGGCGCTTGCGTTATTATTATATTAATCATAAATAATTAAAACGACCAGTAAATGCCCCGGGTTGTGTGGGGATTGGCGCTTGTGTTATTATTTTATTTTATTACTAATTAAAGCATTCAGTAAGCGCCCCGGGTTGTGTGGGGATAGGCGCTTGTGTTATTTTTTGATCAATCATAAATAATTAAAACGACCAGTAAGCGCCCCGAGTTTAATGTGGATAGGCGCTTGCGTTACTATTTTATTAATCATAAATAATCAACGCAACCAGTAAGTGCTTTGGGTCGTGTGGGGATTGGCGCTTGCTTTGTTAATTAATAATTACTATTAGTCATTCAAACTTATGAGGCTGCTATTTGGCCTGTTGAGTTATTGGGTTAAATAGCTTGGGATAAGTTCATTAAGTTATTGTGCATGAAATTGTGTCGAGTGATCTGGGGATTTGCGTCTTGCTCCATATAGCCAATTTGAATTTCCCGCAAGTTTGCCAGTCACATTTGGGGGGAACCACTGGCCTCCTTCCTCCTCCTATTTAGCTCTCGCATTTTTCTCACTAGCATCTGTAGCTATATATAGGTCCTAGTGACAAAAATGCAAAATTATATCCTCCTTACCCAACACTGATGTTAAAGAGTGTGCCGATGTTTCGGCGCTGATTTGAGCACCAATCCATTGTGGCCAGCAGAGGAACCATGCACATGCACGGAAGTTTGTTGTTACCAGAATAAGCTATACCAAAAGTGATAAACATAGAAATATAACGTACAGGTCTTGAGATTTCTACAACCAGTCTCACATTTTGACATACTTATCTGGATCTGGATATACATATATGCATACTTGCATACATGTATGGGATTGTCATTGTTATTTTGGCTCAATATGTAAATTGTTCTTTGCGAGTAAAAACCAATTATTATACGCAACAGGAAAGTGACTACAAGTGCCTACTGCACTTATCATTACATCTTGTTAGATTCGTATCAATGTATTGAACTTTATATTGTGTTGTGGTGGATATACTGAAATCCTAACCTCTTGAACTTTTACAGCTACGTATATATATACTGACATTCTATATGCTCCCACTGGCCGACTAACTTTCTGTACTGGTACAGGAAAAACCCGTACCACGTATCGGATTTTGACGTACTAAGTATAAGGTTTATCTATACTCACTAAGGTACTTTAAAGTATACTACCGTCTCAAATATACCTGTACCAGTACACATTTTTCTTGTACAGAGTATCGAAAATACTTGTACTAACATATAGAACCGGCTTTTCTGATAGCAACAATCTTCCGTGCATTTTCTATTGGCTGGTGGCTTGTAGGCTCGGCTCGCGGGAAGAGGTAAGGGTTTAGCATCGGTGATGGAGAGAGGAGAAGCTAATCCTATATGTATATGCATACAACGGGCTATATATCTATAGCTATAGTTGTGCACTACTCATACGGAAAAGAGCTGCGCGTAATGCTTTTCTCGCTTTTCCTCCCTAAAAGAAAAAGAAGCTTTTTAAATGCAGTTGATCATTCGTTCAAGATTAAAAAGCTGTTACTTAATGCGTCGAATGATTTTTTTAGTCATGAATGGAAAAAAAAAATTTCTTGGATTGTGACCAATGTTGGCAAAAAAAATCTTTTTAGTAACTGGTAAAACAAAATACGTAAGTTATCATAAAAAAAAGTATTAAACATTCAAAGTAATGTTGTAATAAAAAAAAAAAAAATTTGCTCCAAGTGAGATTAGAACCCGGAGCCGCAAAACTAAAATCCACCCTCCTACTCTAGCTATCTGAGCTATTAACGTTTAGGGTATAATGAGACTAAAAGTTACATATGTTTATCGTAAAATTTCGAAGCTTGAGATTTAATTTAAGCTTTATCGTATTATTGCCGTTAAGCTATGTATTAATGGTGAAAAAATATAAATTAACAAATAAGAATATCAGCGCAATCGGGCGTTCGGGTAAAGGTGTTCAGTATATTAGTTAATAATATTACTTACTACAAAAGATATTTGAGCTTACCTTGTCGTTGTGGTGAATGCCTTTATTTATTATTCAATAATTTCACTTATCATAAAAGTGAAGAACAATTGAGCGCACTGGATTATTGGGATGAAGGCGCTCGTTTATTAATAAAGCAAAATAACATACTAATTGCGTTGAGCTTGTCATTTTTTGAAAAATGAAAAAAAAATTGTTAATAACCTGACAATTATGTTTTTGTTTTTATAATTGAACGAATGATCAACTGCATTTAAAAAGCTTATCTTTCTTTTAGGAAGAAAAAGCGAGAAAAGCATTACGCGTAGCTCTTTTCCGTATGAGTAGTGTACAACTATAGCTATAGATATATAGCCCGTTGTATGCATATACATATAGGTTAAGCTTCTCCTCTCTCCGTCACCGATGCACACATTTGGATTCTCATGTCTTCCTCACTCATCTCCCCTTACCTTTTCCCGCGAGCCGAGCCTACAAGCCGCCAGTCAATAGAAAAAGTGTGTTTTCGTGCGTGATAAAGTATTTTTGAATAAGTAGAAAAAAAACGAGAAATCATACACAATTTCAAGTTTTAAAAAAATAGTTTAAAAATACTTTAGGCCCTCAGTTTTACTGTTATCACACGGATGATACCGTCTACACTGATCGATAAATGTTGAAAAAATCTGATTTTAAACTAATTTTTATTCAAAATTTGTGAAAAGATTACAGTTGTAATTTATAGCTATATTTATAGCTGAATTTTATACATTATTATAGCTATTTCATAAGTAGTTATAGCTATAATTATAGCTATAATTTATAGGTACAATTATAGCTATAAATTTTTAACTGAGACTAGCAATCTCCCTACTTATCTCTGATAGAGAGTATTCCAAAAGGCAGGGCACGCGTGCCCCTGGATCGATGCTTTTGGAGCGTTCCAAAAGCTCAAAATCGCAGGCGCGCGTCTAAAGTGCAGATTTGTTATCGACTGAGTAGATTTTAGGTAACTTTTGTGATGCGTCTGATATTATTAATGTGAAGGATCTTTTACAAACAAAAAACTTTAATTTAATTTAAATAACCTATGTATGTACAACACCTAATACATACACAATTCATACATTATATGTATGCATATCGATTGTATAAAGCTCCCTTCACAATATGTATCCTCTTATAAGTTAGAACAGTTTAGGCGCACGCAATTTTAGCTTTTGGAACGCTCCAAAAGTGTGCGCCTGTGCGCTCTCACGGAGGAAAAAATCATGGAGCTAAGGCTTAGCGGCGATGGAAGTGCCCCCCCTTTTTTGAACCTATGTTATTGGCTCATGATGCGTGTGCCTTTAAAGCATGTAAGCTATAGTCTATAAGCATAAGCGCTAAGTACAAAGCAAACGCATAAAGGCACTGGCTTTTTTTCCATCGTGCTTATGCGTTTTCGGGAGAGAGAGGGGATACCGTTCTGTATAGCAGTCAGTATGGGTACGTATACACTTCTTGTCTGCTACGCACTATAGCTGACTATAGGGCGTTATTCCCTCTCTCCCGAAAACGCATAAGCACGATGGAAAAAAAGCCAGTGCCTTTATGCGTTTGCTTTGTGCTTAGCGCTTATGCTTGTGGGCTATAGCTTACATGCGTTAAAGGCACACGCGTCATGAGCCAATCACATAGGTTCAAAAAAGGAGGGGCACTTACATTGCCACTAAGCGTTAGCTCCATGATTTTTTCCTCCGTGCTGTCTTTTGGAATACCCTCATACAGTTCTGTGCCTAAGTCATTGCAGGGCCTCTTCTATAATTGCGTTGCCCCTACGCACTGGCGCAGTGCAGCGACAGCGTGATTGTAGAATGGCATTGTGGAGTGGTGTGATGTGAAATGTTACCATTTCAAATTGACCGCCAATGACATTGGTGGCTATCCGCCACACTGATCCTCAACCCACTGTAATCCGCTTAGAGAAAATAGCTACGGCACAAATAAAGTTTTGAAAAAAATGCTTCTTAAGGTAAGCATTAAGAAAGAAGAGCTTGGATTAGACCTCGTGGAAATTGAAGAAGCCTGCAATTCGGTTAAAGATGATGCTTCAGTTATAGAAAGTAACCTGCATACTTTGTCAAGTGACCTGGAAAAACTTGTTATTGACAATGGAAACAAGTACGCTGCTTTTTTATTGTTATAATCATTTATGAAATTTATAGAATTGCTTAGTGAGAGGTGCTTTTAATATTATTGCCTTAGGTCAAAATATTTTAACTTTCCATCAACACGTGTCGAAAATAATTCAAGCAGCTCTTCCTCGACCAGTTTATGTGGCAGCAGTAGCAGCTCTGATAGAAGCACAACCAATGGTACTGATAATACCAGCAGCTTCAAGTCAACAAACAGCCATCTGATGCTAAACAACAGTGAACTCGATTCGGATGACGATGAACTTGACTGATATTTTAATAAAATGTGTGGGGCTATTTGTTATCACCAACTGTAGAAAGCCTTAATTTCGGGTTCTCCGTTCATGTTTTTGAAAAATAATGTGGATAATAAAAATTTTTAAAAAGTGTCTCACAAATTCGTTTATCCCATACTTTCTCAGCCAAAGCATGGTATAAAAAAGTATCCCTTTAGATCACTTTAAAAATTACGTTCCTTTAGTAAAACAGTTAATAAGGGATAAATTATTAAAATTTTTACACTTATAAAAATTAATAGTAATTTGTGAGATAACAACTTCCAAACACCATTAATATAATTGCTGATTTTGTTAAAAAGATTGTAAATTGCTATTCTAAGTAGGGGATTTAAAAAAACTTTACTTTAAATTTTGAATGTCTTTCATCAGATTGCTGACTCCAACGCCACAAGGTACAAGGTGCACTAGGTTTTTGCCACTAGACCATATAGACTAAAAGCTGGGGTACAGATGAAACAACAAAATAATACCGCCTCCCAATTTCACAAAAGTTAAAAAATCGTATAATTTGTGAAGATTCAGTGTTACATATAACCATATCAAAATTTTAAAATGCACAAAATGTATACGTGCCACCATAGGATCTAATGGATAAGGAATAAAGTTGTTACGATAAAGTGACATTCATGGCATAATTAGAATTTTTCTACTATCCAAAAATTGACTTTCAAGTACATGTAATTTAATGAAACTAAAGTGTTAGGTAACTTTGATGCGTTTAGTTAATATTTGTTAAAAATTACTGAAACCTTTAATACAATGGCAATGAACAGTAATACTGTCTAGTAATCGTACTTTAACACAATTAAATTAAGTAGTATTGCCTTTTAACAGGTATTGTATATAAATATTGTAATAAATGGATTAAAATAATGCTCTTACGTTTTCATTTACTTTTAACATAGCAAAGTATTAATGTATTTGATGTGAGGTTTGCGTGAAGTATCAGTCAAAAGTCAATATTACTTAGATTAATTTTGATAGGGTGACTCCGGCGTTAGGTAACGTACCTATAGATGTACACTATAGTGGGGAGGGGGGGGCATGCGCTGTGCGCAACGAATGGTTATGTTCAACTTGCTAGAACTCCCGCTATTGTTTATTAGTCACTAGCAGTTCCTCCGTCTCGGCTTCACCCGAGACTCACTATATGGAACACAGTAGTGTGTTGACATGTAAAGTGAAACGTTTTCAGTTGAAAATTTTATATCTACTCCCGACACTTCTCAGAACAAAAATCTTACGAAAAACATGTTTGTTTAGAATTAATGCAGTTTATTTGGTCAAGTAGAAAGCTGGAAAAAGTGAGAAAAATATAATTCTGCTGAAAAGTACGTGCATTCCTTATGCCATAAAATAATAGCTGGCCCTAAAAAGCCGTTAATTTGCAGTTTCTTTCGTATAATCTATGAACAGGGCTATTTTTTAAAGCTGTAAATATTCAAACCCACAAAAAATATATAATTAAAAAATTTTTTTTTCTCTTATTTCACAACTTAATTACCACAGCAACAAAGTCCTGGAGTGTAATCTCTACATTTTGTATCGCCACAAAAATACAAATACATATTCTACAGTTAGATGTATTGTTGGCGCTTGTAACTGAATTATTACGCATGCAGTTACGAGCGCCAACAATACATGACGCCGTGACGCTGCACTTCAGGGTTAAGTAACTACGGTTTTGTTCACTCTCGCGCAGTCAGCCAGTCTGTTCACACACGCATTCTCTGTCTTCGCATTTCCTATATAGTTTATCCTACCTTTTCTGTTCGTTTAGCTACTGTACTTAAGGTAGTAAAGTGTTAAGATAGTTGAGCCTAAAGATTGTGTGAATAAACGTGTCTGAGTTTAATTCTAAATTTCGAGTGTTGTACTTTTATTCGCCAAGTCACCTGCTCAAAAACCCATACTGTTAACAGGTGCTATATGCCCTAAATGGTAGTGTGGGTGTAGAATTTGCTCGATCGTGTCTTGTTTTTCTCTCTTCCTTCTTCTTTCCGCTCCGCGCTTGAGCTCATCGCGCGGTCCCTGTGTGCTTTCCTTTTGTGTTTTTCACGTAATAACGTAATGGCGGAAGCAACCGGGAGCTCTGTGTCGGGTGGTGACTGTGGCGAGCACTGTGAGACGGAAGAGCTTGACAGTCATCTCACCCCGACTTCATCCGAAAAGGCCGAGGGACAGCCCCAGGAGGAGGCAGAGCAGAGTCAGGATGGAGGTGCAGCAGCCGAATCACCTCGAGATGCGGACGATGGCCCAACTCTCGAGGCCTCGGGCGGAGCAATAAGAAAGGTCGACATTAAGAGTAGAGTAAGCAGCAGTAAGTACTAGACATGTATATATATATTGTTTTGAAGACTCGGTATTTATGTGAAGCGTTGTTGTCGTTAACTCATGCTTGTTCACCGTTTCCCTTAAAAGATTTGTGTCTTGCCTTAAGATGAAGCAAGACAGCTCACTTAAAATTGCATGATTGAGGTTCCCTTCATTAGATGGCTTTCCTTATTCGGAGATTCGCGGAACTCGAGAGAGCCGGCACGCGTTTGTTTATGTAAGGGAAAGGCCCCCATCGTGACAAAGAAGACGCGTTTCTCGCTAACCTGCCAGTCATCACCAAGGGGGAGGCCTCGAGGCGAAGAGGGAATGCGCGCCTTGGTTATGGCTTGCGTTCGGCCGAACTAAGTGTGCGCGTCCTCTCATGCTACGGCTGGTGGCGCGCGTCATAGTAAATGCTGTTAATCGGCCATTTTAGTTCTCTCTCTTTATGCCTGTCATATAGGATGCTAGCGTCATTTTCCCTCGGATTTACTCACGCTCGATCTCCGTGTCTCTTCTGCAAGGAAACTAATAGCCTCACACGCACGCAAACATAATATAAAGTACTTTTGCCTATTTATTCCCCGTTAATTTTAGATCAAAATGCCATCAATATGATAAATGATGCATCTAAAAAGATTGAAGACGCTATAGTAGAACTAAACGAGGTGGTCGTAACTCGTAAAAATAACCAGGCCATGTTTTCCATAAATAATGAAACTGTTGCATACATGGGAGGAGATGCACATCACAATCAAGATATGTTAGACCTGTTTAACTTGATAGAAAAGTGTGCTAGGCAAATTCGACTCGTTCCTAAACAGCGCATCCAAACGAAAGGCCCCAAAGATAAAAAAATAAACTTGATTGATACCTCATCTAAAGATAAGAATAAAGACTTGAAAAATAGAAAAATAAATTTGATTGATGCCTCATCTAAAGATAAGAATTAAGATTCGAGAGACAGTAAAATAAATTTAATTGGTACCTCATCTAAAGATAAAAATAAAGATTCAAGAGATAGAAAAATAAATTCGAGTTACACCTCATCTAAAGATAAGAATAAAGATTTGAGAGATAGAAAGAAAAATTTTACTGATACTTCAATTCACAACAAGGTTAAAGATTTGAAAAGCAAAAATCTAAATCAGATTAATAGCCAATTTAAACATTTGCAAAACAGAAAAGATAACCTAAAGAAAGAAAGAGCTAGATAGCTTACATAAGGAAATGGCGTATGCAAATCATGAACTTGAGAAAGAACTAATGAAAAGAACCGATCAAAATATCAAACCCAAAGAAATGATAAGCTCACAAAACGAAATTTCAAAAGCCTCAAAGAAAGACATCGAGAAGATCAGGAAGCTGATGAAACAGGAAAGGCATCAGCAGAGCTCCTAGATGTCGATGAGGTTTGAGGTTGTTGCCTCGCAACATAAGAAAACCCTGGAAAAGGAAAGAGAAGAAAATAGGAGGGCTCAAAAGACGATTCGAGCTGATTTTGAGCAGCGTCTAGCCACTCAACAAAAAAAGATGGAGGCTCTTGAGCGAGAACTGGCCGGAAATCGAATACAAGAGGTAAATAAATTTGGTACATCTACTCCGGGACCTAAATTATGTAAACGACTGATTAATCTAAACTCCGACTCCATTAATAATTCGCTGATGTCTGAGCGCGCTGTGCCTAATGATAGTCTAAAGATAGAAGTCATTAATAAAGATAGCCTAGGGTATTATTTTAATTATTCCCTCAATTATGCAACCAAACTAGAATTATTCTTAAAACAATTGCAGTCAGAACTAAGAAGTAAAAAATTGCTTCACACAATTGATTCAAAACTTGAAGCTACTATGAATATTACTCAAAAAAAAATGGAAGAAGATAAAGAACAGACCCTAAACGTAATACTAGGTAGGTTGCCCCTAGATTACCAAAACAAAGTACATCACATTACTGATCCATCAGCAATGATACAAAAAATTAAAGATATGAAAAGGGGTGATAAAAAATGAGCGCATATCAAATACGTAACAAAATATATTCCGTTAGATTTGACCCCAAAAAACAAAGTACTACTAAATTTTGTGAATTTTTTGATGGATTGGTAAGAGATTTTGAATTAGTTAGTAAAACAGTTCCCCCGAAGCTGAGAAAAGAGATAGTTTCTATTATGCGATACTTGATGAAGTACCGGACAGAAAAATAGCCAATTTTAACAGGCTGTTTAAAAGCGAGGATGGCTCATCTTTTAAGTACTTAAGGCAATATATCCTGAAACAGGAGGCAGATGGGTCACTTCCACGACAAACAACGGGTGCTGGAGTAAGCCGAGGTGGGGCAAACGCTGGATTGAGTCGAGGTGGGAACGGTGCTTGGCCATGCCGAGGTAGGAACGGTGCTGGGCCAAGCTGAGGTGGGGCAGGCTCTTGACCAGCCACCAACGTAACTGCTGCTAACGCGGCCACCGCCAGCACTTGAGGCTACGAGTGCAATGATAATGGGCACTATTCGAGGGAATGTCTGAAAAAAGAGCAGAACCTCAGGCGGTGCTACACCTGCCAACGGTTCGTGCAGAACCTGCGAGAGCACATAGGGAGGTGCAGAGGTAATTTTTACAAAAGTAACGATTGAGATTTTAAACGCAACACGGGTGGTGGTAACAATTAGAATAATTTTGAAGATAGTGTTAAATGGAAACCTGAAA